ACCTTGTTTGATGGAGGGATTGTTGGGGCAAACAAGTCCCACATCGGTTGTGGGAAGAAAATAAATCCACCATATAACCCAAGTGGGCTACTCCACCCATTACCAATTGGTTTTGGGATGGAACCTCACTTGAGCCTGATGGTGTGAGCTTGGGCCTTGGGTAATTACTCTCCATAATTCCCTAACACAAAGGGAATGAGATGTAGTGACTAATGCTAGGTAGATATCAATATTCAATAATTTAAGTTTTAAGAATCATTTGCAAGTAACCATGTAAGTTGGGGCCATTTCTAATTGAAAGTTAGTGCACCAAAATTAAAAAAAATAAAAAAGTACCAATAATTGAATTGGAATCAAACTATTGCTGGTGAGACATTGGGGGCCCTTTGTAATTGAAAGTTATTGTACGTGTAAATAACTTTAACTAAAAGAGTGAAAAAGTATAACAATACATGTGATTGCTGGTGGATTGAATTGACAAGTNNNNTGCTGGTGGATTGAATTGACAAGTCCCACAAAAATCAGCAATATTCTTTCTCAGGGAAATTTGATGGATATTGGTGAAAAAAAAAGTCTACTATTTAGAATTCAACGAAAATGTTAGAAATAATATGCGAAAAGTTTAAGGTGTCCTTTTTACAAAAAAATGGCCACATTTTTGAACAGCTCATATATCATTCACAATGGAGTTAGGGACACTATTGGGTGGTTAAGATTTTACGTATTGTGGTGGTTTATGCATTCAATTCATGTCCTTTTTTTTTCAAAGGAATAAGGAATCTCAAAACTATAGAAGTATATACCATCTATAAGAAATATTTGAATCTCATGGAAGTTGTATTTAAAATAATTCGATTAGTTTTGATGGAATTATAATTATAGCAATTAAATTTAAGTTAACTTTTTTCATTGTGTAATGATTCGTGATCTTGATCAAATATTCTTGGTGTTTCAAATAATTTTTAGAGATATGGGCCTTATACTTACTTGGCGCCCCAATAGGTGGGGCCTCTAATTGGAAGTTAGTGCTCTGACTAAAAAAATGAAAAAGGCA